TATGATATTTTACGGAAAATCACAGTACTCGATGTTGCATATTTAAAGAGAATAAAACGTGCAAACAGATTCTTTGTGTATATTAAAAATACCTCCCTCCTTCCCCCCACCCAAAAAAAAATGATAAATTACGGTATGAGTTCTAGAACGTTTACAGGACCGTACGCAGAATGTTTTCATCAGCTGGGGGCAGTACGGCCTATATGCCGAAAAACGTCACAAATATCCAATGAATAATTAATAATGATATTGCCTCCCCTGCTTTGTACGGCCCTGAATGTTTAGGATTGTGATAATATTTAAAGCCTGAAAAACAAATTTGCTTGCAAACGTTATGCAATTGCTGTAGTATAAAATAACATCATATTTTAATTAATATTTTAAATAAGTTATTATTGTAATGTTGGCTTGGAAGTGTTCCTGGCGAGGGCTCGATACGGTACATTGCTCAGAATGTTTCGTAAACTCCATTAAAATGCACAGAACATAAAAATATCATATATTTTTAAAATATTCCGATGTCATCTTGTTTTACTTCAGCCCTGTTTTCGCACATTTCATAATTTTTTCTTGTCCAGTCCAAGATTGAGATCAGTTTTTCTTATCTGCGCGTGCGCATTACGTGTTTTGTGCTCAAGCGCATGCGTATTTGCAACACAACAATGGCGGTTCATGGATTCCGAAACACGAGGAAGCGTGAACTTTGAAGAGCTTATACTTTAATTTGTGCAACTATTTCGCTTGGGGGGAAGTGGATTCTAACTAAGTAAGTTATAATCTATAGATTCATGTAAAAATTATGTAGTTACACGAGGGTTGCTACGGAATTGAACATTTTCGACCCCCTATTTTGTTATATTCACCTGTACGTGAATATAACAGCTCAATATGTTAAATTTGACTAATCAAGTATTTGTTATATTTACTTGTGCAAAAATACTAATGGTTCTTAGTCATGTTTCCAGAAGGTGCGTGAGGAAACCAGGAAACATTGTTTTCTAGCCATGTTTCCAGATGGTGGACAAACCACAGGCAAAGGAAATAAATCATGTTTCTAGAAAAAGTGTAAACAGTATAAACGTATTGTTTCGGGGAATGTTTCCAACAGTTGTGCAAAACAGCACTGTTCCCGCCACAGAATAAGACTTGCAAATCAAAATAGGTTTCTGATGTTCCTGGGAAACATCTTTGCTTCATGCCCATGGATAGAATTTTTTTTACACATGCATATCGCGATTTTCAATTGTTTTCACAACAATTGTTCCTAGTTTGCCCATGGCGTAACCAGGGGCGTAGCCAAGGGGGGGCAAGGGGGGGCGGTCGCCCCCCCAATCGCAAAAAAACTATTCTCTGAAAAAGGCTAAATCCGTAGAGAAATGGGGGGGGGGTACACGTTACATCCTCGAAGCTGAAACGGATTAAGTACGTCTCGACTGAGGAAAACGACGAAATACTGGAAGAACTTGATTTCTAAAATCTCGTTAAAACAGTTGTAAATATGGTTCCAAGAGGAAAATTCAATCAACAGTCGGGCAATTTTGGTATGCAATAAAAAAAAATGGAACAAATTCTGTTCATTTTGTCTAAAATTAAGTGAATTTTTAGGCAAATTTTGTGAATTTTCGAAAATTTGTGTTATGTTCCGAAAAATATTGGTTGTACGGAAAATTTTTTTGACCCCTAAAATGGTACACTGACCGAAATTTTTTTGGCGACGGGGGGGGCAGAATCCTGAAAAGTCGGGCAATTTTCGTTCCGCCCCCCCCAAAAATGAAGGTCTGGCTACGCCACTGGGCGTAACGCTAAACTTGCCTGCAAAATCAGCACTAGCTCCATATAAAGACAATCCGACGAGACTAATAGTTGGAGCTACAGTGAGAGGTCCAATGAAACGTAACAAGAATCCCATCAAGCCACTGAAGCCAATGAAAATTTGAAACAGGGACGATACCATGACAGCTCCTTGAAGCTAAATTGCACAATAATATTTTTTTCTGCAATGTTAATGCTAACGGATTGTATCCGGTTAAGTATTTCAAGATCAGTGATTGCATCACTAAATTGAAAATTCCGCAACTTGCGTAAAAATATGTGATTATGGATTTAATTAATGTATAAAACCAAAACTTTTCTTTTGTGAAATTTGAATCTCCAAGTGCAAACAGGGTTGCCTTTATCAACCACATTAATATTGGGTTGCGCACAAAATTGGAAGCTTTAAAACGCGATTTGAATTCATACCGGGTAAAACTGTCTACTTTTTTGAAAAACTGTCTACTTTTTGATACCTAAAATACCGCCATATTAGATAAAAACAAATAAACAGTCGAACAGACTTGGCCTTGTAGCTCAGTTAGCAGAGCATTGGACTAGTATCCCAAAGGTAGCGGGTTCGATTCCCACCGTGGTCAGGCTAACTTTTCAGCCTGCCCGGTGTGGATATACACTCAGAGTAACATCAAAAACATTATATTCACCTGAGTACATAACAACAAAACACACACAAAAAATAAAATATTTTAATTAAGGTGGCTCAATACAGTTACTAAAAACTTGAAAATTCACTATTTGAATCCGTAATTTTGGACAATTATTACTTGTTAAAAAAAGTATCTTACTGATGTAATACAACATACAAAGGGTTCGGATTTTATTACAAAAGTTATAGAAATGCCATTTCTATGGCAACAATGACGTTTCAAGATGGCGGATATTTTGGCTTTAAAGTAATTTAACTCGAAAACGACATCGGTGAACCCCAAATTTTATTTCATAAAATGATTTCTCGTTGTATACTCAATTATTTTAACAATTGAAAAAAATTCTGTTGAGCCAAAGGAAAATTATTATGAATAATCACATTTTCGTAATTTCAAAATTTTTGCTCAAGAGAATTTTTTAAAATTGTTAAAATAATTGGGTATACTAAAAGAAATAATTTTATGAAATAAAATGTGGGGGTCACCGATGTCGCTTTCTAGTTAAATTACTTTAATTAAAGCGAAAATATCCGCCATCTTGAAACGTCATTGTTGCCATAGCAACGGCATTTGCATAACGTTTGTGAAAACAGTCGAACCCTTTGGATGCTGTTGTACATCAGTACGGTTTTTCAACAAGTAATAATTGTCCAAGAATAGGGATCTAAATCGTGAATTTTTTATTTTTAGAAAACTGTATCGAGCCACCTACCTTAAGCATATTTTTACCATTTTTATTGGACTACATCCATGGGGAATGTACGCATTGTTCTCGTTAAAATGCAGTGTACATAAAATATTTACCTCAACCATGCGTTTTTTCCAAATACCATCAAAGGTACTGTTTGAAGGATCTGTAAGAATAATAGAGAGTTTAAGCTTCGCGTTATACGTCAAACGGCAAACGCCAGGCAAAGAAAAATTTTACGGTAACAAGCAATAAAGAGTAAATGAACTTGCTGTTTTAAAACTGAAATACATAAGTATTCTTTCGACGCAAGAAAGAAAATATGAAACGAAAACGTTCAACGAAAATTTTGCCAAGAAAGTTCGAACCTGCCGTTTGCCGTCCCCGGAAACGTGAAGCTTAAACTCCCTAATGTCGGAGAATGAGAGTACATCCAAGAATAACCACTCAAGGAATTTTTGCGTGAAGACCATGGGCAATGGCAATTCTCACACAATGCTGTTGATTAAACATGCACTGTTTTTAACTTATTTACAGAGCTTAGAATTTTAGCGACGGCATTCGGCAATTCCTTTCGCAAATGCTGTCGTACTTAAGGAGGCTCCCTACATTTTCCAATATATATCAGTGTTTTAACTAAACTAAAAGCTATTTGAATCTAAAAAAAACTAATTTTTTGCACAAGCCATTGTTTCCTTTTATATAAAAAAAAGTAATTTTAACCCACAATCGCTACTCTTCATGTTACCATGACAACATGACGTCACCATCTATATGGCCTATATCAACCAAAAAAGCTGTCTTAGCGGACAAATAACCACGGTGACCTGCCTTTTTTATTGCAGAAAATACATTGTTATGAAGTTTTGAATCTTTTTTGAAAATTATTTGAAAATCGCCAGTGTACTTTTCGAGAAACTGAATTTCAGCTTTTTCAAAGGCTAAAATGCAATCTTAAAAGGCTGAAATCCAGTTTCTCGAAAACTACACTGGCCATTTTCAAATAACTTTCAAAAAAGATTCAAAACTTTATAACAATGTATTTTCGGCAATAAAAAAGGTAGGTCACCGTGGTTATTTGTCCGCTAAGACGGCTTTTTGGTTGATATAGGCCATATAGATGGTGACGTCATGTTGTTATGGTAACGTGAAGTAGCGGTTGTGGGTTAAAATTAATTTTTTGTATAAGAGGAAACAATGGCTTGTGCAAAAAATTAGGTTGGAACAAGCAGTGCGAAGACAATTGAGCATAAAGTATGGAGCATCAACAACTGAAGATGTATATCCATGGGCAGCACAGATCTCCCCTGATGAGTAAAATTGTCTGGCATTTGACAGAGTGAAATAAATATAATAGGAGCATCAGGGCACATTGCCACTTAAAGGAACTAGCTTGGAACAAGGAGTGCGAAGACAATAGCTTTCAGTTTAAAACACTGACATAATTGGAAACTGTAAAGAGCTTCTTTAAGGTTCGGAAAAAAAAACTGCCATCGCAATTTTAATACAAGTAGAAACATTTTACGTTTTTGCCGTCATATTATTGAGCTTTATCCTGCATGACTGAGAGATTGTGGCAATGTGTAGACAAGCATGTCAAGTATGTGTAACGCAAACTTACTCTCTTTGAAACCGGGTGGGCAAGCAAACTCTGGCAAGGTTAAAATTGAAAATGCTGGAATTAAATATGAAAATGTTCCTCCTTGAACAATTGGTAACCTGTTGTGAAAAGATAATATTTCATTTTAATAAAACATATAAAACATAAAAAATCTAGGACAATTAATATATTTTCAGGTTCAATACCCTCATTTCACCCGGTATCCTTGGAGTATCCTTGTTCGAAAGTAATAATTTACTGGTCCAAATTCAAATGAAATTTCTACCAAAATTCATCTAACAATTACGTCTAAACTCCTGAAAATCTTTCCATTAATTCTTTAAATGTAACTGATGGTGCTTGTTGTGGTCCTTGCCCTCACTAGGTTCAGTGTAAGTTAAATTTTAGTGCTCATAATCCTTGTATTTTGTTATATTTTACTTTCTAAAGTTATACTTCGCCTTTGCATGGATTTATTTTCCACGAAGTCAACGATTATTGCAAACAATTGATCTATTTCGTGTAAGTTTGGCGATTCTCAAATCCAAGATGGTGGCTGAATTTGCTGTGATGAGAACTTTATATTCGACAACTTTCCAGTGTTTCAACCAGATATTAATTACAAAAGAAGAAGAAGACAATAACCCAATTCTTGACATCTAGACGTTGATGCCTTTGAAATCCCTCTCCTTTGATAAACAAAGACAGCAGTATACTCAAACATTGAATATCACTCCCGTCTTTGATTATCAAAGGAGAGGGATGCTATAATTTGCTAATCTAACATTCATGTTTTTTGAATAAACAATTTTGACACCATTGTCCCAGGACAAAATATTGTCTTGCTACTGCTGTTCAAAAATTGGCGTTTTATTTCTTCATTGGCTTTTCAAAGATTTTAAGCTCTTCAGATTGGGTTGTTAGTTCGTTCGGTATTATTTGCTATTTCTTTTTTGTATTCGCTTCAGAAATAATTAGATCCACTTTTATGCCCTCCATGATGTATGGGACACAAACAAGAAGTGGGTTGCAAATTTCTCACAAATTTATTTAATGAGAGGAGATGTCCAGACCATGAAAGTTTCAATGTGGTGTGTCCATTACCTCATAATACTTGTGAATTCTGTACAATCACGGCAAAGATGTTGACGAATTTCGAATACCCCCAAATTTTGACTCCGAGATCTTGTCATGCATATCTTCATTGACAACAAAGGACTCTTGTAATTTCGATAAGAAAGTAGTAAGGGCTATCGGTCTAAGATTGTCTACAGTTGAACAAGGTATATTTTTAGGAATGCCTTTAAATTTATATTGTTTCCATATTTTGGGGAAGTAATTTCCTCCAAACGTATCGTTAAATATCTCCGTCAGTGGAGCTGCCAATACATATGGAAATTCCTTCAAGATTTTTAAAACACATCTTCTACACTGACGTTTGGGAGACTATCCGGACATTGTAATTCGATCCATTCCTCGTTTATCCGGGGATAGTCCCTGGTAAGATCCGCGAAGAAAGTCATTAATGATAGTGGCTGATTGTTTATTATTCAGTTCAAGTTCTGTTTCCGGATCAACCAATGTAGCACTGTCTTTTCCCCTTCCTGTCAGGCATTTAATTTCTTTCCACCATGATTTCGAACGAGCAGTTCGTTTTGGTCTCATCTTATCATAGAAAGTAGATTTTTTAAACCTTTTTTTACCACTACTACCGCATATGCCTTGTTCCTTTTAGCCTGCGTCGCTTACTTCAAAACACATAAAACATGTGTTTTGAAGTATACGACGCAAGCTAGTTCCTTTTAACTAACGGTTTTATTTTGTTCGTAATGAACGGTTTGTCTTTACTGTGCCTTCTAATTGTACTTTCCGCAAGAAGAATTCTCGACCATAGTCTCGATCGTAATAAATCTATTCACTTTCTCGTCAATTTCCCATATAGAATCTGATGCCAATCACAATTCTCTGAAAATGGATCCAAAAGCACTCATGTTTGCTTGTCTCCCATCTCTTCGCTTAACTTTCAGGACCTTGCCCTAATGAGTAATGCCCTTTGTATTATAACGACTCTAGACTTCCATATCACTATACAGTGGTCAGATGTGGATAACATCATAACAGTGCTAAGATGCAAGGAATTTGGTAAAAATCGACAACGGTCGTAAATATTAGGTCGAGGATATTATTACCTCTTGTAGCTTTCTTGACAACTTGTTTAAGATTACAATGTGCTTTGAGACCAGGGCCTTTTTTAAGGATTTTCCCGTGGGGGGGCATTTTTTGAAAAGGGACCTTTCTGTGAGATAATATTTTAGAGGGGGATAGGAATGGCTGAAAGCCACGTGTGTGGCAAATATACCACGCATGAATGGGGGGTCTGGGGGTGTACTCCCCCAGAAAATTTTTGAAATTTGACTCCCGGAAATTTATTTCCTGCATTCTGAGCATCCAAATTTGCTCCAAAATTTATCCTAACTGGCTAACCATACTTGTATTTGAAATAAATAAAGGAAGAAATGCACAAAAAGTAAAAAAAAATTAACCATCATTTATCGTTACTTATTAGAGGAGGATAGCAATGGTCAGGTGTGTGGGGATGTATTCCCCCAGAAAATTTTTGAAATTTGAACCACGGAAATGCCATTTCCTGCATTCTGAGCATCCAAATTTGCTCTAAAATCTATGCTAACTATAGTTGTATTTGAAAGAAAAGATGGAAAAATGCACAAAATTAAAAGTAAAAAAGAATATTAACTGTAATTTATTATTACTTATTAGAGGGATAATCCCAAGAAAATTTTTGAAATTTGAAACCGTGAAATGCTATTTCCTGCATTCTGAGAATCCAAAAAATAAAAAAAATATTAACAATAATTTATCATTACTTAGTGGTAAAAAAAGTAACAATTTAAATCGATTTTGTTAAACAAGAACAAAGGATAAAGCCTAAAACTTACTTTCCGTTTATCTATTTGTTAATCTTCGCTGGATTGTTTATATAATTTTAGGAAAAAGGGACTTTTCCTGGGGGGGCAAAATGTGATTTCGTGGGGGGCACAAGGGGGGACTGGGGGGGGCAAATGCCCCCCCAGCTTGTATGTTAAAAAAGGCCCTGTTTGAGACATCGATTCTGAAAACCATTACTTGTTGGGTTGAAGTCTCCCGCAACAATGAATGCTGAGTTCTCGCTTTCCAAACAAAGTTTATCATAGCAATCATAAAAATATTCGTAGAAACTTTCAATGTCGGTTTGGCATGGAGGAAAATATACACAGCCTATACAAATTCTAGATATCTTTCACGGGAACCATGCTGGCCGAATAGTCACAAAAGGTAATCAAACTTCAGCGCGCTATTGTATCTGAATTACTCCCCGTATGAACGAGATTTTTCATCTTCGGAAAGATCAGGTTTTAGCTGTTGAATGATATGTTCTTCATGCCAAATGGAGAAAAAATGAGCAAGTAGGTTACGAGTCGGATAAAAAATGCTAGTCAGAATCGCATATTTTCACTGTTAAGAGTTGGGTCTAAAAGCATTCAAAATTAACCCCCTCGGTACTTAAGTTGATGAATTTCACTTCAATAAACTACGCACATATTCATAATTATTATTAGGTGGGAATAAATCTTAAGCCCGCCGCACACGAGAGCAACTTGCTGAGGCGGTTAGCTCAGCAAGTTGCTCTCGTGTGCGGATAGTTTTCGTGAGGATTTGACCTCTCGAGGCCTTGAGGAAAATATCTATCGTGTTTGATATTTTTCGCCTCGCGAGGAACTAAAAATCTCAGCGTCTGCGGATGTTGTGAGCTAAGTGCTGAGCTGTTTGAATCAATTAGCTAATGACAAACCATGGTTTCTTCATGTTACTTGGAACAAAATGGAGGAAAATGCAAATGATTTTGTCAATTATGTTGTTGTTGAGTAGTTTTCCCAACGTGTGCGGTGAAAATGCATAGCTGAGGTTGCCAACGTTCGGTGGAATTTACTATATCCGATGCAACAATAGAACCATCCGGTGAAACACTCGGACGTTCAAAGTTAGTTATAATTTCCGCACGGCTGAGAACATTCGGTGGGAATTTCCAGCGACTTAATTGTACTTTAATTAATTTCAAATTTTGGATCTCATTGTTTATATATATGATATAGGGGACTGGAACATATTCAGTTCCAGTCACCTATATCGTTCTCTCTCGTTTGACAGATCATGCTTTCACGTGCCACATTAGCTGGCAGACATTTTAGACTCAATAGTATTCAGCTTTGTCATGCGTAACTCAAATGTGGAACTCAGAGTGACGAGTATTAGACAAATCAACAAAACATTGTTAGCCAGAGAAGAATGGGCTTAACCTAAAACATTTTAAAATCGGGGTCCATTGTAAGCTGCCGTGGATTGTGTGTGAATTTGACGTCACAGAAATCAAAAGCGTACACAGTGGACTAGGGACTAGTCTGTGAATTATTTGAGGCGTGAGGAAGTTGGGAACTAAAATCCTGCACGACGGTCTAACGTCGAAAGTGTTTTCAATCTTTTTTAGGTAGTTTAGAAACAAACCGCGGCAGCTTACAGTAAGGCATTATTCACCTGTTACCAAATATGGTTTGAAGTAAAGTCGCAATTCCACTCATGAAGAAAATAGTACTGATGAGCTTTCCTTTCACGACGTCGTCATTGATACACAGCGGTGATGCAAGGACTAAAGGTATGGTTATGTTCGAGCCAAACATTGTGAGGTAATGCTATAAAAGAAGACAAACTAACTTTTTCTTATAATGAAATTGAGCTAGAATCCAGGCTTATGCTTTAAATATGTAATAAATATATACTTATTATATGGCAAGCATCACTTCCGGTGAAATGGAGGACTGTGATTGGCTGAGAAGCACTTTCAGCGGTCCATTATTTTTCCGTAATGGACCGGCGGTCCACGGTCCATTACGTGAGAACAAACGCATGCATTTAAACCAAAACAGCAAAACTAATGAAAATTTGAAAATTATAATTTAATTTATTACTAATAAGATATATGCGAATGGTTTTTAGTGGAAAGGAAGGAATACATTGGTATTTTTTGTTTTCTTCGACCAAATGTGTACCACGCTACTAATATGCATTTCAAATCATGCATTTCTTGTTTGTTTCAAGTATAAATGCATATAAATGCCATATAATAATATTTTTATTAACCTCGCTTGCTTGGTATGTCCAGAGAAATATTGGACCTCGATCTTTTTGCACAAACCTCGCCCTACGGGCTCGGTCTGTACCAAAAGACCTCGGTCCGATAGTGAATAACTAACAAACAAATGTTAATGTGCGGAGCAAAAAATGATCATTGATTTGTGGTTTTGTTGATCTAAAAATCGTTACAGCCAATTCAAAAAAGGTTCTCCTTTGCAAACCTTAAACTCTAAACCTTAAACCTTAAACACTAAGCGCGCAAAGCTTAATGGGAGCACAAGTTTCAATATTGAATGGGAGCACAAGTTTCAAGCTTGGTGGTTGAATATTGCAACTATATTTGTGAATGAATTGTTCTCGTCAGGATATATATTTATCATATCTCTAAGAAATGGATCCCATATATGATTTCTAAACTGATAAACGATGTTCCCATTATGGTTTGAACCGCTTAGAGTTTAAGGTTTAGACTTTAAGGTTTGCAAATGACAACCTTGTTTGAATTAGCTGTATATCAGTGATCAGCGTGTTTAAGTCCACATTGTCTAAGGACAATGACAATAAATTGATTTCGCTTCATACATGCATTAAATTTTACAAATGAATAACATTTTACTTGAGTACCTGAAATCCTAGCAGTATGGCAAGATACCATGGTGGATTTTCTTCAATGGAATAACTTAACTTGCTCTGGGATTTTTCTTTATTCACAATAACCTTAAAAATAGTTTTTTGATAATTCCTTACGAAATTCTATTGTATCGTAAAAATTTGCATCATGACGCAAGCAAGCAAGAAATAGAAGTGTATAGGTCTCCAATGTTTGTGCTTCACAAGCATGTTTAGTATAGTTCTCCAATGTTTGTGCTTCACAAGCATGTTTAGTATAGTTCTCCAATGTTTGTGCTTCACAAGCAGGTTTAGTATAGGTCAGTCTCCAATGTTTGCGCTTCACAAGCATGTTTAGTATATAGGTCTCCAATGTTTGTGCTTCACAAGCATGCTTACTTCATCCGACAAATTCTTGAACGAAATTTCTAAAATCCTCGAGCCAACGGCGCGAACATTCCGCGCGTAGGCCCCCGGCGAGGGCACTAATTCCGCTTGGCTAATTCTTTGTTGTATAATTAAAATTTGCTTAAAATATTAGTGTTTAGTTTTCAGATTGTTACTTTTATACGTATTTTTATAGACTTTTGTAAAGCGCTTACAGAGCTATCTGTTATAAGCGCTATATACGCTGTTATAAGCGCTATATACGCTACACTTGTAAATGAACATAAACTGTTACGTTTCAATTCAAAAAAAGTTCGAAAGATGCAAAATTTGGACAATGTTTATATGTGGGGCTCCCCTTTGTTATAAGAGCAGAACTGATGCGCAGAACGGAGTGGACATCACCTTTAAAAGAACTAATCTTTCATCTATTCTTGTTATTTTGTACAAAAAATATAAAAAAGAATAAAAAAATGATCGTGTTGCTATTAATTGCAACTGACTTTACGCACAACGCGAGCCTGTGTCAAGTGTGGACCAATTATTAATGTCTCATGTTAAATCAATGTTTGGAAAATATGGGCTAATGGTTGCTGCATGCATGCATGTATTTTTAATGTACTGCTCAAGTTTTTTACTTTAGCGGCCCTAAAGCATGAAAACGGTGTATATATTTTATAATAATAATAATAATAATAATAATAATAATAATAATAATAATAATAATAATAATAATCTTTATTCAGGTAGCCAATTTCACCAGAAGGTGATTTACCATTGGGTCCTGTAATTTCCTAATTTGAAATAAGTTACAAATTTGCTTAGTAGTAAAAAATATATACAGTTAATAGAGTATTTACGGGATATATATATACAATAAAAAATTATTTCCAAAGTTCTCTCTGACTTCTCTTAAAAATAGCAAGATTTGGTGCTTCACGGATATCACATCGAGAGTGTTCGAATCATCTACTGATTTATTTGTTGTTGTCCATTAACCCCAGTTTGTTATAAATTTAGATTTACGAAATGTACGTCTTGTCTGGTATTATAATTATGAAAATCCTTACTCTCCCTATAATCAAATTTGATTTGATTAATTTCCGTTTCTAGATGTCATAATATCATGTGGTAATATGTCATTCAGGCAAATTTGTGAATTTCATCTTCGTGATGATTTCTGCACTGCAACCACATATTTTGAATGTTTATCGATAGAGCTTCATAATGCAAACCAAAGCAACCTATAGTCTGTTCAGTAATTTACAGGCATTCTAATAGTAAACTCGAAAATTTTATGAATTATTATACAAAAATAATGGAAAAAACCTCAAATGAAAAAAAATTGCATAATAATGGTGATTTTAATATCAATTTACTAAATTATGAATCTCTAAATTATAAATTCTCCCTTTGTCTAACATTCTCATGGTGTTGATCAATCAACATAAATTTAAGTGCTGAATGATCACCATCATGACGATCAATGAAGTGATTAGCTATACCACAAGTTCTTTTCTTGTGCTTAATATGTGACTTGTAATTTGCCAATCTAGATTTAAAATTGGCGGTGGAGCCGACTCCTTGCAAATCACAAGCCCCACAATGGGCAAGATAAACAACATTCTGCGAAGTACACGTGAGAGACTTACAAATATTATACGACCCACCAGTGGCGGTGGAACGAAAAGACCCACAGTGGGGTTGAGAAAGTTTTTACAACAATCACACCTCTTTTCCCGTGCATGCAAAGCAATCTTCTCCCGTAAGCTCCTAGTTCTGAAAGGGTTCGAGGGAGCTAGAAACTCCTTTAAATTGCTTGATCTTTTATATGAAACAGGAATAGCACCTTCCGGCAGAATTTGTCTAGCTCGCTCATTATTATCAATACTATACTTCTTTGGTTACGAATTATCTTACCATGCAATATCAGGCGCCCAAGGATTGAACTTGCTAATAAAAGCGCAAGGTCTACCCTCGTTCCTACGTTTACTCCTATACGCGAGCTTGCATGCTGGCGTGTCATGCTCCCGATTTCGTTAAATACTTTAAGAACGTGCTCACTATCATGCCCACAATCCGTCAGACATTTGCAATATTCTTTACTCTTTTGTTTAAAATCCTCATCATCAGAACATATTCTACGCAATCTCAATGCAACACCCTTCGCAATCCCAAGTATTTGAGATTTGGGATGGGAAAACTTTGCATTGAGATATAAATGGGCATCGGTGGGTTTACTATAGACCGATGTAACTAGCTTATTGTCAACTCATCATCATCATCATCATCATCATCATCATCATCGTCATCATCATCATCATCATCATCATCATCATCATTATCATCATCCTCTAACTCATGAATTTCTTGGTGATCTGGGACCATACTGTTTCCAGCCTTAGGCCTATATAACTCAACCAACTCGAATAACTGGTCATTCAGCAACCTTAATTGCATGATAATATTTATTTTAACTCGATTGAACATGAGACATTAAGTGGAAATTTGATTTGTGATATAACTGACCATTTTCCTAATTTTGTAATACTTAATAAGTTTGCCTGTACTTCCTCTAATCCCACGATTTGTCCAAGAGATTATTCTAATTTTAATTAACGAAGAAATGCTGGAGTGCGTCAGGTCAATTGGGAGGATGTTTTGCCTGAAACTGAAGACGTGAATCTTAGGCCTATATTCAAATCATTTCACAATAAATTATTATACACTTAATGTCTGCACCCGAGGGAAATAGTTAGTTTTGTTTTCCCGAGAATCTCAATGTTTCCCGAGACGAAGTCGAGGGAAACATTAAGATTCGAGGGAAAACAAAACTAACTATTTCCCGAGGGAACAGGCATTAAGTGTTTTGTTATATAGCGACGAACAAAAATCAACTTCAACAACATTCATACAACAATTGTATTTCGTGACAAAAACTCTATAGTGTAAACGAGTTAAAAATTAAAAGATCCTACTTAAAGGGTTTCAGCAGCATATCCTGTTGCCTGTTGTGTATTTTTCTTCTCTTTTATATTCTTTATTTGAACACAAACTTGGAAAATCGTAGTTTCTAATTATCTGAGTTGTGCCTCCATTTTGTTTATTTATGTACGTGGCCGGTCGGGGCGAGCAACAATTTTTCACTTGTTGCCCGGCGGGAAACATTGCATTTATCTGAAGTCACGTGACCACAAATCAGCCAATCACGTTTGGTGTTCACGCTAGCTATATAACAACAGATATTATTAATAGGCATGCACCTCTGCATACATTATCAAAGAAAGAAATTCGAATATTAGCTAAACCTTGGATTACAAATGGTATTAGAGTTTCTATTGCTAAAAAGAATAAACTTTATGAATTGTACATTAAATCTAAAAATGATTATTATTTTTCTAAGTTCAAAATTTATAGAAATAAATTAAAACATCTTATACTGGTTAGCAAAAAATCCTATTATAATCATATTTTGCAAATAATAAATATAATATAAAAAATATATGGAAAGGTATTAAACAGCTGATAACACTAAAACATCAGCCTTATTTAGTTGCTAACTTATTGGAAGTAGAAAATTTAAAACTGACTAATTCAAAATCAATTGCATGCTAATGCCCTTAACAACTATTTTTCAAATATTGGTTCAAATATTGCTAATACTACACCCATAATAGATATTTCATTTGCGAAATTTCTTAACAAATCATTATGTCATATAGTTTTTTTCCTTTCTCCTGTAAGCACTTTGGAAGTCGAAGAGGAAATTAGTAATCTTAATCCATCTACGTCTGTTGGGCCATTTAGCATTGCTACTAAATTGTTAAAAAATTTGAGATCTGTCTTATCTGGCCCACTTGCTTATCTCTTTAATTGCTCATTTTCAACAGGTGTTGTGCCTGACCAATTTAAATTAGCTACAGTGATACCAATTTATAAGAAAGGTTCTAAGTCGGTTGTGTCAAATTATCGACCTATTTCATTACTCTTAGTTTTCAACAAAATTTTAGAAAAATTAATGTACAAATAAAAATAATGAGGAAATATGTACGAAAGCTTCGGATTGATGCAACTACCTGAAAAATACAAGGAGAAATTCGACGTTTCGAGGGAAGGCGCTTCGACTTGTCACTTGTACTGTTAGTGTTTATATACATCGTACTTCACCTTTACTGATAAATCTCCTCAAGAATGAGTATTATATATTTTTATGCTTTAAAATTTACATTTAACTCTCCTGTCAGAATTTATGGTATACGTAGTGGTAAGTACGACAGTATAAAAGGTCAAGTGTAGTTCGTCCTTCGATGTCGAAGATGACCATAGTTTCATCTCTGCTAGTTTCTGCGTTGAGTGTTGTGTGTTCGAAGATGGCTGACAAGTCCAATCCTCGCATGGAACGTCCTTCCACATTCTGGACAAGACGGTCCGAATGGAGCTGCTGCCGATGCTTCTCTCTCCTTTCACTTAGCCCTTTTCTGCTTTGCCAGACTGATACGATTCTCCTCGTGTAACTTTGCTCCCCTCTTCACGCTAGAGCGCCAGGCATTTCGGTCAAGAGCTAGATCTTCCCATGTGTCAGGTTCGATGTGGAATAGCTTGGTGGATACTTTCAGGGAGTCTTTTTACCTCTTTTTCTGGCCACCTCTGGAGCGTGAGCCATTTTCTAGCTCACCGTACAAGAGCTGTTTAGGGATGCGGGTGTCATCCATTCTTCGAACATGACCAGCCGAGCGATGCTGTACATGTTAGCACGGCTTAGAACCTCAGTTTCTGGGGTCTTGTCCTGCCATCTGATGCCTAAAATTTTCCGGAGGCATACTGTGTGGAAGTGGTTTAGTTTCTTGGTGTGTCTCTGGTATACCGTCCAGGTCTCACTTGCATAGAGTAA